CCAGTGCTTTGAGACGTTTGGCAAACTCGATGCTCTGCTGGAGATCCCAACCGTTGTCGACGTAATCGGTAAACGATATCCTAACTGCCAGTACAGTGTCGGCCGGTATAGCCCGACGCACTTTGTCGGCAATTTCCAGACCAAATCGCATACGATTGTCAAGTGAACCTCCATATTGGTCGGTGCGCCGGTTGGTTATCGGCGATAGGAAGGTGCTTAACAAATAGCCATGAGCATAGTGTAACTCTATTAACTAAAAAAAACAATAAATATTAATTAAATTGATTTTTTTTAAATATATAATATTATGATGACTTTTAAACTATGCCATAAACTAAACATAAACAATAATTATTAAATTGTTTTTAATAATATATTCAATAGTTTAGTTTAATAATAAATTAGTGTGCATTTCATTATTATAATAATAACAAACAAACAAAAGTTATAAAAAACTGTAATTATTTAATTTCAAACATTTAGCATTGTTTATAAAATTTTTATTTAAATTAATTATTAATATATTGGGCTATAATTAATTATATTATCTATAACATATCTATGTGTTATATTTGCTAATATATTAAAATTAATCAACTTCTTATACTTCATTCAACTTCATATAATTTATAAATTGTACCCAATATATTATTTTTGTTGTTAAATTACTATTAATATTTTATATAAATTTGTTAAAATTATGAAAAATTACTATTTTATATAAATTTGTTAAAATTATGCAAAAATTAACTACATATATAGTTTATGTTTTTTTTTGAAAATTATTATAATTATACTTAAATTTTTTGTTTACTAAGTATCGGTCGCTTACCTTAAACCCACACTTAACGGCTCGCTGTGCGGCCAAAACAAATGCCCGACTGATGCGTTCAATATCTACAACAGTGGCCTCTTTGGGTGCATTCATCTTAGGGCTAAACGGTATAGCACTGGCACCTATTGTTTCCCAACCACCGTCGTCGCCAATGGCCAACGATTGGCCACTTTTCGATCCGGAATCGGCTTCCGATGCCACAGATGTGCTACCTTTACGGCCCGAGTGTGACAACTGTATGCCCGGCACACAGTCCTGGGATGTCAACAGACCGGCAATCCGAGTCCAACGCTTCATCTGGTCGTCACTCCAAAGGCCGACGTCGGCCGGCGTTATTCGACCAACCGGTTCGATAGCCGTGGCCTCGCATACTACAAGACCGGCGCCGCCGATAGCGAACTGACCATAATGTGCCAAATGAAAATCATTGGGCAGACCATCTTCACGGGCCACCCAAGTGACCATCGGTGACACACCGATACGATTTTTGAATGTCACGCCCCGTATGGTTAGCGGTTCAAACAATTTGGACATCGGTTTAGTCTCCGTTGGGCAGGACTTTGATATTTGGGCCGCGCCGMAGGCGCGGGTGGGGGCTATAGGTAGATAGTACTTGAGGTCTACTATACATATATAAAATATAGAATATCGCAAATAAAAGGTTAAGGAGTTATGAACATTTTAATTAAAAAATTCAATATATATTAAATATAAATAGCAGTAATTTAGTATATTTTCTTTGTAGAGCTTCAGTAAGCTAGTGGTTAGAGTTGTTGACTTAGGTCGTAGGTTGTATAGAAAAAAATTGTAATTTGAGTTATTAAATAAAAAAATTTTTGTTAGGTTACTTTATAATAAATTGTTCGTTTTGTTTTGTTTGTTTAGTTTAGTTTAGTTTAGGTTAGGTTAGGTTAATGGCGGCCGGTAGGCCGCTAGTTATTTTAGTTTAGGCTAGGGTAGGTTAGGGTGGTTAGGGTTAGGTTAGGTTAGGTTAGGTTAGGTTAGGTTAGGTTAGGTTAGGTTAGGTTAGGTTAGGTTAGGTTAAGTTAGGTTAGGTTAGGTTAGGTTAGGTTTGATTAGGTTAGGTTAGGTTAGGTTAGGTTATTTTAGGTTTAAAAAATAATAAGTCTTGCAAAAAAAATATTTTTTTTAATTTTAAAAGTTCATAACTTTTTAACCTTTAGTTTGCGATGTCCTATATTTTACATATGTATACTAGACATCAAGTACTATCTACCTATACCACCCACCCCCGCCTCCGGCGCGGCCCAAATATCAAAGTGCAGCCCTCCGTTGAAGTCATTATTTGTTTGATATTTTTTTATATAAATAAATATTATTTAATTAAATTATTTGTTATATTATATAAGTTATATTTTGTAATAAATATTTCTTAAATTTATATAAATATAATAATTATTAATTAAAATGGTTTTTATAAAATATCTAGTATCAATGTCTATATAAATTTATATATATTATTAATATAATATTAATAATACAGTATATTGCATAAAATCTCGGCTTTTTACTACTACCACTAAAAGTGGTATAACTTTAAATATAAAAAATATAGAAAGGGGTGATATATATCATTGGAAAGGTTTTTATATACACTTTCCAATTATAATAAGCACACCATTCCTAATAGTGAGCGCGACCATTGAAAGTCCGCCCGAAAACATGCCAACCGAAAAAAATAGGGGTAGTGTATGTGCTCTACACATAAATCACTGCTATTGCCCCCACCATCGCTAAAATAACCGAAATTATTTACCCGAATGGCGGGCTTACAGTTAAATTTTTTTAATTAATTATACATATTATTAATTATTATATACTTATTTATTAATTTTAAAAATTATTTTTTTCCTGTAATTTATTTATCGATTTTTATGAGCAGTTAAAAAAGCCGAGATTTTATGAAATATACTGTAGTATTGTAAGATATTATCAAAAATACTTATAATGGATTATATAGGATTATAATTTAACCTTTATAGTTTATTATTTAAAATAAAAATTTATATTATATATACAATTAGAGCCAATAAATTATTGGCAATAATACAATAGATTAACTATTATTTATTTAGGCGTCGTTCACATATTACGTTCGCACTTTTTAAGAAATCTAGACCCCCTCCCTCCCCTATGTTCACAATTGTTCGCATGTAGTCATTAAAAAAAATTACGTTCGCTAACCCTAACCGCTACCCCCCCCCCACCACCACAAGATATAAGATATTATCTAAATGCGAACGTTCTTAAAGTCTCTACCCCTCCCATCCTCCTCGTTCGCAAAAGTTCCCTTTAGCTAACCCCCCCTCCCCTCAAGTGCGAACGTAATATGTGAACCACGCCTTATCATTTTTTATATTATAATCACTAATGATTAAATAATATTAATTTTAACAATTGAAATAATCCGGGTGCAATCTAATAATAATTATTATAGAAACTTTAATAAACAATATCAATTATAACTTTTTTTTAAAACGAAATATAGCATCTATAGGAACTAATTTAAATATGATATACAATTTAATTTTTAAAAAATGTAATTAATTATTTGATTAACTTTTTTAAATCTAAAATTAATTATATTATTAAAATACATAAATAGCTTATAAAAATGCGAATAATATTGATGCCAATAGATGTCAACCCTACCCTTCCTAGTACTAACCCTTTCATACCTGATTGACCATTGACTTACCTTTCCCTATATAAGCACCTGTAATACATCCGCATCGCTCTCTAACACTTTACCTTTTACTCAGTACACACCTGAGATATCATTACCAATTATTTTTATTATTTACACGTGTTTTACTATTTATTGGTTTTATTAATAAAGTTAGTTATTATTGTGCATTCTCTTTGTGTATCATTTTAACAATATTGGTACTCTTATTGACGTCGCCCGAACCAGCCGTCATCGTGATTCCCAGAATCACTCTGACTTCTACATTACCATAACTCACCCCGTCACCGTAAATCCCAACCTCACATTGAGTTCTATCCTCACAGTGAACCCCAAGCGTCACCCTGATTACCGACCTCATCGTGAGACCCGATCTTAAATAATAATAGCATCAATTGGCGCACCGTCGGCAGGATAACCTCCGCAATCCAAAATTATTCTCCGCTCAGGTCACCGAATTCGAACACCGGAAATAACCGGAAATCAAACTGAAATGACTACAAGCACTTCTACAAATACAATGTCGGACGGATTCAATCAGAGTCGAAATAAACGCCCGGCTCTTGAAAAGTTTAATGGCCACAAAACTGTTATAAGAGCCGATCTCTGGATCGGACTCTTTGAAGTCGCAACAAGAGATTTAGCCGAAAGCGACCGAACCTATGAGCTTATGACATACCTAACTGACGATGCCTTGAATTGGTATGCAACCGAAATTGCCCCGAATATACTCACAATGACTTGGGCTGAAACACGAGGACAATTCATACAACGATTTGCATCTCAAAGAGAGGACGCCTTAATCCTTGCACAAGAAAGAAAACTAAACAACAATGAGACAGTAAAAGACTACTTTGATGAGAAAATGCGATTTCTACGACAGGCAGACCTCAACGACAACAATATCGTCGGACAACTCACTGCGGGAATGCCCGAGTCATATAAGGGTTACCTCTTGTGTGCCTTACCTAAAACTCACATAGAATGGTTAACATTGGCTCAGAGACTGGAATCATCTCGACTTTGTAGTCAATCTAAAATGAAGGAACTCAAATTGAGTACTCAGATTCAAGCTGACGCCCGTACTCAACCTGAATTTCGACGTCAAACATATGCTATGGCTGTACAACCGAATCGTCAAAACGAATCTGATAATCAATGATAATTCTTTATTTTCATATTTCAAGAATATGGTACACAAATAAAGGGTGTTGTAGGGCACGTCATTAAGTAAATATAATACCCTACAACACCCTGTAGGGACGGAGAAAAATGATACGGTACTCGTATCATGAAAATAGGGGTGAAAGTTAAATATGGTACATTGATAGTAATAATACTAGTAAAAACAATTCATAGCATAAGTAAATTAASGGGGAAATACAAAAAAAGGGACGGTAAATATGATGAGTTGATGCCGATGATTGAGTGGTCCTCACTCGGTTGATTCGCAAGGGGTGAAAGTCAGATGGTGTTCGGTTAAGTGCCAATTCTTTATGTAATCGCTTTAGGTGTCCGGGCGATGAGTGACGGCGGCGTCCGTTGCTGCAGAGTTTCGGCTGCACGCACATCGGCAAATGATCGGTGGATAGTGCGGCTGAATCCTATGGCTCTTGTAGTCAGGTGGCTGGCGATGTAGAAGGCGATGATATGTTAGACAATGGGGGTAGTGGACGGTAGATCTAAACATATCGGGTTCTACGAAACTCCGATAGTTTGTAGGCCTTGAGACTCGGGCAGTCATTAGACATGGCCGAGTGTTTGACGTCAATGTTGTTGCTGCCGGCCTTTCTGTTAGCCTCTGAACAGTTAACGCAGCAGAGTTTAGTGTCATCGGTCTTGTACGGACAATCTTTGTATGTGTGCTCGCCTTTACAGAGCGAGCAGGCAATGGCGTTGGGACAAGTACGGACCTTGTCTTTGTGTGAGCGGTGGCCCAGACCGCAACAGTTAAAACAACGAGTCACGAGAATGTAGTCGTTAATGCGGCAACAGGACCAATCGATTTGGACTTTGCCGGCTTGTATGAGGGTGTTACGTAATTTGGGTGACACTTGAATGACGACGTTTTTCTCGTCGTTTCTTTCCTTTGTGTGGAAGATGAATCGGACTTCGGTCTTGAGAGCGCCGATTGAGGCTGGACTTGCTTCGACGTTCAATACTTGTTCTGAAATACGTTCGAGAATGTCATCATCGGTGATTTCTTTGGGGACACCGCTTATAATCATTCGCGGGTCGCGAAGACGGGGTTCTCGGACGGTATAATTGCTGGAAAATTCAGGACAAGCGATAAGTGTGTCGCGTAAATGGTCTAAGTCCTTGGCGTTGTTGACGGAAATGACGACCTTGCCTTCTTTTCGCTTCCGTACGCGGTTGACGAAAATCTCTTCGGACTCTGGATCAACGAAGTCTAGAAGGTCGGTGTGTGTTTTGTTGGAGTCCTTCTGTTGATCGGATTTGGGCTCAACGATTAACGGGTAGTCTCTGGTGTTAGGCTTCTTCGGTCGCTTCGTGATTTGTGCGAAAGTAGGCGGACCGGTAGCAGTAGGCTTAGGCTTGGTTGTAGGTGCCGAGCCGGTGATTGCAGGGATAACAGTTGATGTAATCAGCTCTGTAAGGGCTTTGATTTGCTCGCCTTGTTCGTTGAGTTGAGCTTGCATTKGGACGGTAACGGAGAGTTTTGCCTCGGCTTCATCTGCTCGGCGAGTAGCCGCCAAGTAGTATGCATAGAGYTTTGATATAAGTCTCTGTGCRGTCGATCTCTGMAGCWGRTTAGGGTTTTTGTATTGGAGAGACTSRCCGGCCAKTTGGCACTGTGCGCTGAGGGACTCTGGTGACTCTTCCTCAGGTTCCTCGTCCATGTCCTCGTTCTCGTCATCGTCTTCATTGGGCGGTATGTTGTCATCATCACGGTCAAACTCAAGAGGGTTCTCCGGAGTATTCTCCTCTTTTTTCCGTTTCGAACGTGAGCGAGTAGTTGCTGTATTGGTAGGTGGTGTCCTTTGCATAGTTCACACTAGGTGTCACTGTGGGTATTGAGTTTGCGCAAATATGTGCGCGAAGAATGTGCGCAGAAAATGTGTACAAAGTTGTGTGCGCAGATATGTGCGCAGAGAATGTGCGCAGWACACACAGAAGTGGAGACACTGACGTAGAGARTCACTAACACAGGTAGTGAAACTCACCAGTAGGTAGCGCTGGATGTCACAAAAAGGTGTCGWACACAGARAACGTCGTGCGTAGTTGGTGCGCAGAAGAAGTTTTAAAGTTTTGRAGAMGACGTTATTGATGGAAGGAGGTCGGTCTTGTGTAGAGGCGAAAAGCAGTCAGTTGTGATTTGGMCGTTGAAGARWGCAGACGTGCAAAAACATAGAAAAWATAGCACTTTTKAGSMMAAAATGAGAGCATTTGARGAGCATATAAAAATGCGACTGCTCTCAYTGAGAGCTAAACTGCGAATAATCTGATAATCAACCTCCCGGTCCGTGCCGCAAATGCTCCCAAGCTGGTGTCACTGCTTGGCATTGGCATCGCGAGTGTCGTAGACAATGGCCAAATATCAGAAATTTGGCTACTCAACAGTCAGCAAATAATCCATTTGTCCAGACAAATCGACCAAATCAAGCATCATATAGAGATAGATTCAATGTGAATCCGCGACCTCAAGGCGTATCATATTTTACTGGAGACGATAATCAGTCTGAGGACATCATCGCTCAGGGAAACGCTTTGGGCGGTCGTCATTAACTGAGATCGCGGTACGGGTCAACGATATTCCTACTAAAGCAGTTATCGACTCTGGTGCTACCATAAACATAATGAGCACAGCTTTTGCCAGAGTACTCAACAAAACGCCTGACCCACGAACCGCTATTCCCGTTGCAGGAATCAATGGGATTTCTCAATCAGACGGCCGCCTAACAATCACTCTTCGCATCAACAAAACAGTACTTAAAGTGCACGCGCACGTCCTCAAAGACTCTCCCAAGCCATTCATCATGGGTGACGGCACCTGTGCTGACTTCGGCTTGCATCTCGACTTCAAACGGAAGCTCGTTACACAAGAAACCTCACTCTCGTCGCAAAGACAGCTCTGTCTCACTACAAGCCGACCAAAGATTTCCGGACTCAACGCGGGTCACATAAAAGTCAACATGACATCTACTCAATATGAATCTACTCCAATGTCTACACGACTCGTACTGAAACAGTACCCTCAATTATTTTCAGCGGATCCTAATGACGTGGGCCGCATTCCAAACGTATCTCATCACATTCGACTACTTCCTGAGCAGCAGCCAATACATCAACGACCTTATCGCCACTCGATCGCAGATTTCAACGAAATCAGAAGACAAATTAAAATACTACTCGACAAGAAACTAATCCGTCATTCAAAGTCTCCATTCGCTTCACCAGTAACACTCGCAAAGAAGAAAGATGGATCCGCGAGACTTTGTATTGACTATCGACGACTTAATTCTATCACAATCGACGAACGTGAACCTCTTCCCCGAATTCAAGACATTATTGACCAACTATCGAACTCACGTAGATTTTCGTCACTCGATATGGCATGGGGCTATTGGCACGTCCCTATGAGTAACGAATCAATCGAACGCTCAGCATTTGTCACTCCCGACGGTCACTATGAGTGGCTTGTTCTTCCTTTTGGTCTCAAGAACGCTCCGCCAACATTTCAACGAATCATTCGACATGTATTGGGAGACCTACTAAACAATGGTGTGATACCATATCTCGACGACATAATAATCCACGCGCCGGATCAGCGTTCGCATGACCTCTTATTGAATAATGTACTTCAGCGTCTACGTGAAGCCAATGTTAGACTTCGTGAAGAGAAGTGCAAATTCGCAGTGACTTCAGTAGAATATTTAGGTCACGTAATAGAAAACGGAACCGTATCTCCGGCACCATCTAAAAGTACAGCAATCCGCAATTATCCGACACCCAAAAACCAACACGATATCCAACAGTTCCTCGGTATGTGTAACTTTTACCACAGATTCATCAACAAGTACTCATCGATAGCTGAACCATTAACACGTTTGACACGTAAAGATAATCTGTTTATTTGGGGTACCGAACAAATCTCTGCTTTTAATACTCTCAAAGAGGCTCTATCAACACCGCCAGTGATGGCTATCTATAGAGATGATAAACCAGTAGTAATTCATACTGACGCCTGTAAAATTGGAATCGCAGCGATCCTCATGCAACCCGACGATGATGGGCACAAACGCGTAGTGTCGTACTACTCACGTAGAGTTAATATTCACGAAAGCAAATATACTACTTCCGAGCTTGAATGTTTAGCCGTTATTGAATCAATGGAAAGGTGGCATATATACGTTCACGGCAAACATGTTGACATCCACTCTGACCACTCAGCACTACAATGGCTATTGAATATCAAAATGACTTCAAATAATCGACTGTTTCGGTGGTCAGTAAGACTATCTGTTTATAACTATACAATTCATCACAGACCCGGCGTTCGTAATCAGGCAGCGGATGCATTATCTCGTAATCCGGTAATATCGCTTCTTATTGATCAAAATCGTTTGAAAATGGCTCAACAAAAGCAAAACCCAATGACTCATAGTGAATCCGGAAATCATAATGAATTCGCAACTCATTATGAGTCTTGGAATCACATTGATTCAAAATGTCATATTGATGATAATGGGATAATAAGGTATAGACATAAAGGTCTCAACAGATACTACGTGCCTCCGACGTTACAAATAGAGGTTTTACGCCATTATCATGACGATATGGGACATCCGGGAATTGCCGCGACAACACAGTTGCTTACTGGACATTATTGGTGGCCATCGGTAGATGACAGTATAAAATCATACGTCAAAACTTGTAAAACTTGTCAATTAGTAAAACCTTCAAACAGGAAATCATTAGGACTCCTACAACCTATTCCAACACCGATTTTACCAAACATTTTATGGGCAATGGACACAATTGTCATGGGATCGACTGGAAGCGCAAAATCAAAATACATTCAACTAATAGTCGATCATCATTCTCGGCACGTATGGACACAAGTAACCGCCGACAACAAAGCTAAAACTGTAGTCAGATTCATGAAGAATCTCATCGAACTCATAGGGAGGCCCGAACAACTCATTACCGACAGAGGAACTAATTTCATCTCAAAGACATTTGCTGAGTTCATATCGAAGCAAAACATAAATCACACGTTATCATCACCGTATCATCCTCAAGCCAATGGTTTATGTGAAAAAGCAAACCACATCATCATAACTAAACTTAAATCAATTCGACTCGATCAACCTAACAGACATTGGTCAAAGCTTCTACCCGAGGTCGTTGATCAATATAACCGAACACCACATGGAACAACAGGATACTCACCACAATTTTTACATTTTGGAATTCCATCTGACGCTCTCTGCGACACGAAATCTCTTGACATCGCTAGACAAGAGTCAATAAGACGCTCAGATGAAGACAAAGAGAAGCGAAAACAAATTCACAATGAATCCCACACAGCATCCAATTTCAAAACCGGAGATCTAGTTGTGCGCAAACTTGCAGCACATCATCCATCAAAACACAAGCTTTCACCTACAAATACGGGACCATATATCATCATCAGGAGTCTGGGTGATGAAACTTATGCTATTCGACCAACTCATGATGAATCCCCGGACACTTTATCCTACGTCGCGCACTCCAGTCAACTGAAGCCGTTCAACCTCCGTGCGAACGATAACGGCGGGGGAATGATGCCAATAGATGTCAACCCTACCCTTCCTAGTACTAACCCTTTCATACCTGATTGACCATTGACTTACCTTTCCCTATATAAGCACCTGTAATACATCCGCATCGCTCTCTAACACTTTACCTTTTACTCAGTACACACCTGAGATATCATTACCAATTATTTTTATTATTTACACGTGTTTTACTATTTATTGGTTTTATTAATAAAGTTAGTTATTATTGTGCATTCTCTTTGTGTATCATTTTAACAATATTGGTACTCTTATTGACGTCGCCCGAACCAGCCGTCATCGTGATTCCCAGAATCACTCTGACTTCTACATTACCATAACTCACCCCGTCACCGTAAATCCCAACCTCACATTGAGTTCTATCCTCACAGTGAACCCCAAGCGTCACCCTGATTACCGACCTCATCGTGAGACCCGATCTTAAATAATAATAGCATCAATTGGCGCACCGTCGGCAGGATAACCTCCGCAATCCAAAATTATTCTCCGCTCAGGTCACCGAATTCGAACACCGGAAATAACCGGAAATCAAACTGAAATGACTACAAGCACTTCTACAAATACAATGTCGGACGGATTCAATCAGAGTCGAAATAAACGCCCGGCTCTTGAAAAGTTTAATGGCCACAAAACTGTTATAAGAGCCGATCTCTGGATCGGACTCTTTGAAGTCGCAACAAGAGATTTAGCCGAAAGCGACCGAACCTATGAGCTTATGACATACCTAACTGACGATGCCTTGAATTGGTATGCAACCGAAATTGCCCCGAATATACTCACAATGACTTGGGCTGAAACACGAGGACAATTCATACAACGATTTGCATCTCAAAGAGAGGACGCCTTAATCCTTGCACAAGAAAGAAAACTAAACAACAATGAGACAGTAAAAGACTACTTTGATGAGAAAATGCGATTTCTACGACAGGCAGACCTCAACGACAACAATATCGTCGGACAACTCACTGCGGGAATGCCCGAGTCATATAAGGGTTACCTCTTGTGTGCCTTACCTAAAACTCACATAGAATGGTTAACATTGGCTCAGAGACTGGAATCATCTCGACTTTGTAGTCAATCTAAAATGAAGGAACTCAAATTGAGTACTCAGATTCAAGCTGACGCCCGTACTCAACCTGAATTTCGACGTCAAACATATGCTATGGCTGTACAACCGAATCGTCAAAACGAATCTGATAATCAATGAT